TATGCATGGATATAATTTATCTAATTATTATCATCATTTCGTTTTTCTATGCAAAATAGTAGAAAATCAGAAAAAGAAAAACATTTAAAAAGCAATTTGCAAAAAACATCATTCCAATGTTGTCCTGTTTGGTGCCGTCGTCATCAACAACACGCTTTGGCCAAGAGGATAATATCATTATTAATCAAAGTATGCCCTCGTCACCAGCATTCACAATGCAATGTAAGTAAAAAAAAAAAAAAAGGCATAAATTACTTATACGGATTGGCGCCAATAATCAAATCAAAGAAATCGAGGCAATTAATAACTCAAACACAAAGACTTTTAAAAGTATTCACAATATTTACGCTAACTATGTAATTAAATCCTCATATGATTGAAAGTTAATAACACAAGATATAAACAATGCAAAGTCTTTCGTAAGCAAGAAACCGATCAATACCTGCGCCAAATTCAATTTACATATATGAATCGTATATGCAACGTCTAGTACAATATTTCGATTATCGTGGCATTGTAGCAAGTTCTTTCCGCCGACTCACTTAGTGAGTTCTACAAAAGCTCACCGAAAAACCTATGAAAAAAATGCGCTTGTAAAATTTTTACTTAGCGATTACAATTTCTAAAGATTCCTGCGATTTAAACTTTCTTACGCCCTAAAAATCAGTTCAATACCAATCATTTTGAAGTCAATATTACCTTAGATCAATTTAAGATTAGATCAAAATTGTGCCGAAATTCGAAAACCTCTTTAAATCTAGGAACCACAAACAAAACAGACATTATCCAAAGACGACACCTGCTTTTCATCTCGGAAATTATAAATTCCTTACAAAGATTATGGGCATGGGCATTACATCTGGGTGATGGAAAAAATCTGCTTTTTATCTGAAGAGGGATTAAACGAAAAAAAACTAAGTATGGGAGGAATTCTGGCTTCTGATTATTTGGGAAAAGTAAATTACGTTTTTGATTCCTGTACGGCTGTTAAATGAAAATGTCAGATCCTCTCTTCTCCACTATAAACTTTTAGGCTCTATACAGATACATTTTAATAAATTTCTATTCTCAAGATACCTAAAGATCAGTTAAACCTGATCTGTACTTTTTCCTCTCTCTTAAATTCTTACCTTAGGAGTAACGGTCAAACTTGAACCTACTAAATCGTCTACACCCGAGAAAATGCAAAAGGAAACATTTCCAGATAGATTTAAATCAGGTCAAGATCTGTGTTACCTAAAAGTTAAAAAGTTAAATTTCTTTTTTTTAATCTCCCTCTGGTTTACTCGATGATGCGTACATTTCTCAGCTATTATGTTTTCATAATTCTTAGCTTTTGAATATCTGCCAGACTTGAACCTATTGCTTTACTTTCAGTGTCAACTGAGAAAACGACAAAGAAAAAAAGTAAAATTTTTTTATGGATCTCCGTTAGGATGGTTCAAACACAAAAACAAACGAAACAATGTCTTATTACGGAAGAACGATAGACGTAACTGTTTGCATATTTTCAGGTGAAAATCTCAACTATAAAAAACAGAAGAGAATGAATCATTTTTTATCCAGCCTTCTTTGTTGTGCATAAACTGTTTACGCCTTGCAATGAAAAAATAAAGTCTCAAAACTCTCGGTGTGGTCTCTGCCATCGACACGTTCAACCTGCTAAATTGCAAGTTACTATATGCATACACATATTTTTCCAATTAAGTTACCAACGCCTTTGTTTTCTTTGTTGTTATTGTTGTTGCTATTTTTTTTTTTTTTTATATTTTCTGTTTAATAAAGATCTCATATAAAATTCACCTTAAACCTCCACACTTTCAAGATCTGCATTACTCACTCAAAATGTAATTACGTAAATACATACACGACGAAAGCGTACACATGGACTCATATAAAACTAATATGGATGTATGCATATATATAAGTATGTTGAATCATATTTCATAACAAGCACACACAAAAATCCTGCATGAAGGAGATCGATTATATATATATATATATATATATATATATAGTCAGCATTGTTTGTTATTAGCAGCGGGCGATTTTTTTTTCTTTTTTTTTCTTTTTCTCTTAAAAAAGAGCAGTTGTTTACCTCCTTTTTTTTATTCTTCAGAGTTTTTCAACTACTTGAAATTAAGAACATTGAAAATAAACACCTCCATAGATTTATGATAAACAATCGCTTTCAAAGTTAACAATAATAATAACATAAGCGGTACAAAAGGGTTCTTTAAGAGTAACACAACAACAACAGCAACAGCAACAAGCATAATAACAATAATATGAAAACAAAGAATCAAATAAAATAAACTGTAATTATTTTTGAAATTGAAACCTCTTATCCGAAAAATAACCGCAAGGTAATATTTAAAAAAAAAAAACAAAAAAAAAAAAAACATTTCAATTTCCAGATAATGCTTAAACGCAAAAAAACGCATAGCATACTCGTTATCAGTAAACTGTTTCGATAAATTTTTTTTTTTTTTTTTTTTGTACATTTTATAAAAATAAATAAAAAAAATGAATAAATAAATGTTCAAAATTCGAAGAATTTTAATAGTCTTCAATTTTCGACAATTTGAGAAACATTTTAAAGCAAATAAATAAATGACCATTAGATTTAGCTCATTATACATACATACATACAAACAAACAAACATACATACATACATACATACATATATATGTACATGCACTCGCCCTTTTCAGCATACACGTTTCGTTTATATGAATGTGCGAATGGCGATTGGCGATTGGCGACGTTTTCTGTTTATTTCAGGTTTCATTTACGGCGCTTAATTCATTTCGTGCTTTCTTCTGTTCTTTTTTTTTTTCTTTTTTTCAAATATAAAAAAAATAGAGCAATTTTATGATGCATAAATAAATTAATTATTTTATTAATGCCGCCAAATATTTCATAATTATTTAATTCTGCCATATCGTAATAGCTTCGGGCATATATCGGGTAGAATTTTGAAAAAAAGATCACTTACTTACAGCGCGATCGCTTTGCTTTTGCGATCGCCTTAGTTTTCTTCTTTCCTTTTTTTTTTTTTTGCGAACGCAGTTCATTTCTTGTGACGCAGCCGTTTTGTACTATAATCCAACGTGACAGATATGTAAGAAAACGTCTTTGGAGAATTTACTAAAGCGCGTCGAAACAAGTAGTGTATTGAACAAGTATGTTCCAAGTCCCAAATGGGTAAAGTCTACGAAGACTTACTTGCGCTCGAGTTACAACTGTCGATGAAGTATACGATTTTCTTACCATTGAATGTAAACTTTTTCGATCATATACCCCTGAGCGACCGAACAGGCAAAGGAGTCTCAAGGTATGTAGAGGTTTGAATCAAGCCGATAGCCTTATGCAGTAAGGCTTTAAAACATTACTTTTAAAAATTATTTCTCCGACTAAATTAATAATAATTTTTCCAAAATAAATTTGTTTTCGACGAGCAATGAATAGCCGAATAGGTAAGAAGTAGATAATCGCGAATTCAACTCTCAATGCGGTAGAATTTATTTTGGTCGTAGCTATATAGCGCTAAGTCGGTGTAGGCATAACGTTTATCGATTGGTCACACAATTACGTCCCTATTACTTTATTTTTCCTCACATTTTTCTGACTGTAGTCCTGATATTTTTCTGAGTGCGAGAAATCGCCTTGGGCTACGACGGGTTTTTTGTCTTCTCCCAAGCCTAGCTGCCCTTTATTATATTGTACTTTGAAGTCAAATGTTTACTTTTACATCACGATACTAGAAACGGATTAGCTTTCACTCTACTTAGTCATTATTTTTTATTGATTTTGATTAACAAATTCTCAAATATTAATGAAAATTGCTTATGGCACTTGTTGTCGTCGTACGTGAGACATGAGTCTTTTTGTAGGTTTAACAGGGCACTAAATACAATTGTGATCTCATTGAGCCACATTTAAAATATTTGATATTGTAATGACAAGGCTTGAGGAAATTTTAGCTAGACGAATAGGATACCATAGCTACATTATTTATCATGTAACGTGCATAATACAATGGCGAGGATTACATTAAAGAAATTTTTCTTATGTCTTCCCAAATTTTTTTCAAAATTTTTTCTTAATACTTTTTATATCATATCTTTCCCTAGAACTTGTTTAATGGCCTTTGTATCCCATGCAGACTTTTCGAATTCCTCTAATAGCATCGGTTTCTTTCTATTTGAAATATTTAGCCTTGTTTTCCTCTCATTATATGCACATATATCGTCAATCAATCAAATATTTCTCGCAATATTTAAATTTCTCTTTCGTTTTTTTGATCATTAAATGTTAAAAGCTCCGCCCATCTTTACCCTGTGGCATGTGCGTATAATTTGTTTCTTTTCTTTTTTTTTTGATAAACTATAATGCTACTGCAACAGTATGTAAAGTCTATCTACCTTTTGTTTTAATTGTTCGATGAATGGAGTTTGCAAGCAAAAAATTAATGAAAATTTTTCCATTACAAAGAAATTGACAAACAGATGGAAGGGCAAGTTGTCGAAATGAAACAAAACTTGAAGCATTAGTTTATAAAAATTTCTTCACAAAAATTAATAGGTCCCTAATAGGTGCAAAAAATTAAAAAGAAAAAAACTATCTTAACACCTTACTACATTTTATCATTTAAATAAAAATAAAAAAAAATTTAGTAAAACGATATTTTCTATTAAATGACTTGAATCAATTCTTTTAAAATATTATTAAATTGATCAGTTGCCCTGGCCTGGCATCAAAACAAATTGTTGGTCACTTCTCGTCTCCCCTCTTCCTTTCCTGTCTCGTTCTCTCTCTCTCTCTTTCTCTCTGTCACACTTTTTCTCATTCTCCAACAGGCAAAAGTCATTTTAAGAACATGAAAATTAAATTAATTTAATGAAATGAAGAGTTTTATGTATGTATATGTATGTATATACAATCAACCTGTAAAACAAATTGAAAGAAAAACAGAAATGCCCAAACAACACTAGGTTTATAGATGCGATCAATGCCAAGTAAAACGATCTGTTATTGTAATTTAGTTTTGTTGGTTTTTGTGTTTTTTTTTTTTTTTTTTTTTTTTTTTTTTACGCAACATTTTGTTTTAAATCCTTCAACATTATGGTATATAAAGTTTATCATTCAGTTGTTGTTATTGTATTTCGAAAGTATCTCTTCTCCCGAAGAGAATGACAGAGAACTTAAATAACATTGG